GTCATTCACGCTCTTCCAAATAAATTTAAAAGTTGACAATTTTTCCTGTAGATAAGTTTTGTCTCTGATAAATACTCTTCTTTTGTACGTATTTTATCAATAGGCGATTCATTTGGTAATTTTTATTTCAGCATAGATAAATGAATAGTTAATTTGGTTCGTTATTTCGATACTTTTATATTGTACTTATTATTTTAATCGTTAGGAAAAAGTGCAGGGAAGCTACAAGAAACTGGATGCCAACATAATATCAGGAAATCGATCATCCTCAAGGAAGAAACAGAAAGAGACAAAAAACATTATAAGAATGCTTTAGTGTGACTGAAAAATATACAATTTTATGGACAAAGCTTACAAAAAGATAACAGCAAAATAAGCAATAACAATTAAACAACAATTTAAAATTTACTGAAATTAAATACATAAATCGGTAATATCACAAAATAAAAGATAATAAAATACATAATCCATTGCAAAATTTAAATAAATTACAAATTGCATAAAAAACCTCAAGCAATTTAATTGAACCCAGCCTATGAGAAATGTTCACTCAGGTAGTACGATCGGGTGTAACAATTCGTTGGAGCAAGGTGTGTTAACTCGAGTAAAAACAGGAGTCACCCCACCGTGCTCCAATGCTCTAGACCATCACTTTCCCCCCTATAGCAATCTGATGCGCTATAGAGGCACAACACTCAGCCAAATGCTCTTCATGTGGAGGTCCTGGGTAATAGAACCCCAACATGGTTTCCTAACCGAATGCAAAAACGCAGGACAGCGCATCTCCGCTATATTTCTGTTATCTTAATGTGGCTTATCCGCGAACTGCATAAAAAACCTTACGAACCATGTAATAAGTTTATGTTGCTGCATATGACACCCAAACAGTTGTAGTTTTATGAAGAGTTGCAATATTAGAGTTCCTCCAGCTGATACTGATATTGTGGCCAATGGCAGATTTCGGAATTTGCGATTGGCTAAAAAGCAACGATAATTGCGACCAATCATAATTTTGGAATCTGCTGCTCAATTTCTGTATTATCGTTGGTCGATTTGCAACTTGGTTGTAGCCAATGATAATACTCGGAATTGAGCATTGGCTATCGTGATGGTCCAATAGCCAACGGTCCAAAACGACCGTTGGAAGTTGACCTGCTTTTTCGTCTATAAATACGATGCACGATGGCCAATACGGCAGACCAGGTCAGGATAGGTCCGCTGGTTCAGCCTTTTAGGCAAGTCGAGATCCTCTGATAGATTAAGTTCTCAGAGCCTCAAACCTCCTTTTACTTACCCAGTATCCCAAGTTTTCTTTCAGCTTTATTTGGCAGAGTTCCAGGGCGAATCTCTGTCGGTTTGTGGCCAAGCCAGCGACCATTTTTGAAAGATTAATTTTTGCTTTTAGACTTAAAAAAATTTGCTGATATTTCTTCAAGAGCGCCGCCATTTTTACTCGAATTAATCTGTGTATTTTCGACTTAGTCGGAAATTCTGATTATTTTTCTATTATCCTCAATTACACATTTATATTCTGATTCCTTAGATGGTTCATTATATTTAGCAATTTTGTCTACTATTTCATTATTTAATATTCCACAATGAGCTTTTATCAAACAAAACATTACATTAGATCCTCTTAATTTCATTGTACCCACCAGGTTTATAATTTCAGATAACACATAATTAAATCCAATATTGTTATATTTAGAAATATTTTCAATTTTTTGTATTGAACTTTTACTATCAGAGAATATAACATAATTAGATTTTGTTCTTAAGAAATTACTAATGCATTTAAGTGCTTCTAATATTGCTATTAGTTCAGCGGTATATATCGAGGTTTTAATATTTAGATCTACTACTGTACTAAATTTTTGATCTGGATCGTAAAAGGCAGATGTAACCTTTAAATCTGATTTAGATGCATGCGAAAAAATATATGAGTAATTAGGGAACATAGACTTTATGTCAGCTTGGAACATGCTATTTCGGATATATTGTGGGAATTCTGAGTAGTCTCTAAGATATCCTACTTTTATGCTGTCCAAGTGTTCTAATTCTATTTTAAAACATGGTAATTCTCTTGAAGTCGAAATGTCCTTACTAAGTTGTATCCTTACGTATTTGTACGATTCAATAATATGAATTGTAGGCTTTTTTTGCCAATATTCCTTGACTAGATCGTAAATACTGAGCTCGAAGCATTTTTGGATTACCGGAGTTTTCTTTGCATACATTTTTAATAAAAACTTCTCCGTTAAGTAATCTCTTCTGAAATTTAGTGGAGCTTCATTGCATTCTACGTTTAAATTTGAAATGGGTGTACTCTTAAGTGCGCCTATACTTATTCTTAAGACTTTATTTACTAGCCTATCTAATTTCTTCAGGTTACGGCAAATTTTTTCCACTTTATTTTCAGAATAGATTATGAGAAGGAGCAAAGGAGCAACTTCAAACCATCATGGAAGAAGAAACACTTGATAAAGAATATGACGACTATGATGAAGAGAATAAAGTAAATCCGGAAAGTATTACGGTCCTGAAGATATACCCTAAAATAGCGAACCAAAGCCGTCTAGAATGACGCCATTTCCAATTCTACGAATTCCTTTCAGAAGGCTGCAAGTTATCGAATAATATATTGAATAAAAATTCAGCGTGTTCCTCTTAACTCGTAAAAAGAAGTGCCACTTAAAAAGTTCCATTGGAAAAGGGTAAGATTGCGCGAGACTGGAAAGATTTTACGATTTTTTAATATTGAATTAAATAAGATTTTTTGACGACTTTTCTCTGCCTTTGATTTAAAAGGAATGTCGATTTGAGAAGTTGTGGTAAAGCCATTGAGAAATAAATCGAATTATAATGTGTTTTTTAGTTTTGTGAATGGAGTTTAATTTGAAATTATTTTCTCCGTCGATTTTCAATAAAATTACCACTTTATGTAATAATTTCTGAATAAAAAGAAAAGGAACACCCGTTCATTTTTAAACTTCATTGGACGGGCCTCAAAATATTACACAAAAGATGGGCCAGGGTCTGAACGGACCCCAAATGGGTGAACTATGCTTATAAGAAAAGAAACTGTACCAGTAACACATTATTTTTATGGTATTGAAGATTTATTAGACTAAAGCATACACATTACTAAAAAAATATATTTGTAGCGACAAGCTAATTACGAATAATTGAACTTTTGTATTCAAAAATTTAATAAAACGATCTCATATTAAAATTTAAATTTTCGCAAATGGTTTATATACATAAGAAATAGAAATGAAATGTTTTTTTTTTCAATATGTTCATTTACCATAGATATTAAATATGCTCGACACTTTAATTATACATTTTGAGTGCGTTGCATTTATGGGAAACGAAATATAATATGACGACCAGCCCGATAATAAAAGTTAATCGTCTATATTCGCCGATATTCTGAAAGACATTCAACATCCAACCAAACATCACATCGATACAACACCAGTTGCATCTGTTTTCTCTAAGCCTTGACGATTAGCACCTGACAAATTGCAATGGGCTACAAAAGAATTCGAAAATATTTTGCGACTAGGCATCATAAGACCATCAAAAAGTAACTGGTCTATACCACTACATATGGTCCCGAAGAAAGGTGAGGAATGGAGACCCTGTGGAAATTATCGACGTCTAAACCAAAGGACTATTCCAGATCGATATCGAATTCCACACATCGGCCAAAGTCCACCACAAGACTTTGGTCAGTCGCTAGCTGGGCTTTGCGATATGCTATGGGCTATGGGTTAACCATATCCCACTGTCTAGGACTGTGGTTAAGACAAAAGCTGAGTTTTTTGCAACTGAGCTTGGAATTGAGAATTTCAAGGCATCGGAGGGTTGACTGAGCAAGTGGAAGCTGCGGCACAAGATCAACTATGGGCAAATCAGTGAAGAGGCTCGCGATGTTAACAAAAACGTAACGAATGCTTGACTAGAAAACGTATGTCCTGGACTGAAGGCACAATATGACTATGTCTGACGACATTTTCAACGTTGATGAGACTGGATTATTTTTTAAACTGAGACCAAACAGCAAATTTAAATCGGAAAAGTGCGTTGATGGAAAGCTCTCTAAGGAACGCATTACAGTTTTAGTGGTCGCTAACATGATAGGTTCGGTGGAGCGAAAATTGTTAGTAATAGGGAAGTCGAAAAACCCACGTTGCTTAAAAAACATAAAAAATCTATCGGTGACCTATAAAGCAAACAAAAGAAAGTGGGATATCGAGCTTAAATGGAAAAAATTCTTCTGCTTGTAGACAATTGTCCTGCTCATCTTGTACTGTGCGACCTTCAGAACATCAAACTTTGTTTTCTGCCAGCACACACAACAGGTGTCCTTTAACCCATGGGTCAAAGTGTCATCAAGAGTTTGAAAAGCTATTATAGGAGAAGACTTTTGATGAAATTAGTTGAGAACAATGGCGATCTTAAACTAATCATTCTTGACGCCATCCTGTACCTTTGTCTCTCTGTGTATAATGATCTCTTATTATAAGGATGAAAATTGCCGGTCCCCTATCATTATAGAAAGAGAGGACTATAGTTACACTTTAAATATGGAGATCTGCGTCTATTGTAAAGGTCTACGGCGTTAATTAGTTTTATATCTTAATATTTGTGCAACCCCTATACTTTACATCAGGCGCCGCCCATGCTAATTATAAAGCTTAATTATAAACAAAGTTTACCTAAGTAGTGGACAGCAACTATGCAGAATATAAGAGAAAAAAGTATTTTAAATTGGAATACACGTTCATTAAAAACTTTTAAAGTTTTAAAATCTATATTTACAAAAAAATCTATATCTAGCGTAAGTAGCAACTACGCATAGTTTTCTTTCGTATAGGTAATAATATGTATATGAAAGTTCCCCGTTAAAGTAAACCTTGTACTACATGATTAAAATCACAAATCGTGAACGAAATAAAAATATAATGGAAGAGAATAATAAATTTTTGTCATACCCTTCTCCAAACTCCATCCTGCATTGTTGATCCATGGTAAAAGAAGCCTGGAGCGTGGCATTCAATGAAATTTCTCCCGCGCCTTCCATCGGGGGATTCAACAGGCACAACCACTTGCTGTAAAAAATTGTTTCGCTAACTTATTTCACGCTACAAGAAATCCGCAATAATTGTCAAGCGGCTAAAGAAAGAGTTTTTTTGGAATTGTGGTGAAAGCATTCAATGAAAGGTTAAATATTTTTCAATGTAAGAAATATTTTTTAGATATATTCTTAATAAACTAAAATGTACGTTTTGAAAATATTGTTATTTATAGAGAAAATATTGTTATTTATACTCTATTCTTGAAGTAGAATAATTATTCCAAAAAATTCCGGTTTAATAGACTCTGCATACAGTCTATTTTATCTGAGGTACATCAGAAAATAGTCTGGGTAAAAACCCAAGCAAACTACATTAGTTAAAATTGGGCATAATATTGACCCACAGTCCTGCTAGTTAATAGCAGCCATCCAACATTACAGAATAAGAATAATGAGGGAAACAGTCTTCAGAAATTGAATCCCAAGATGGACGGACTAGAATTGATGACGCTCTAAACTAACATTTATCAAGAAGCATCTATTTAGCATCTCAGAAGCCATGAGGACCACTCCCACAGCGGCTCTTAAGGCTTTGCTGGATTTACCTTCTTAACATCTTATTGGAGAGCACGACGCCATGATGGCAGAATTTAGTCTTAACTGCTCTGTATACTGGTTGAGAATGAATGATCGGATGGATTATTGTGACATCTGGAAACAGTCCCTTGATTGTTGTCCTGTGCTCTCTATGGTACAGGACAGCATGGCCTCCCAATTTGAGTTCTCATCCTCCTTGGTTTAATTTTCTGACAAGAGCATGCACTGATTCGTCGAAGGGGGCTCACCTAGTTCACGGGTGGATCCAGAATAGACGAGCAGACTGGTGCCGGAGGATATGGGAGCGGAATCGGACAAGTCTGGCTGAGATCTTTGCGATCCTGGAAAGTGCTCTAAGGGCTTTGGAAGCCCCCAAAATTAGCTATAAGCTGGTTCTTGAGTGTAAGAGAGCACTTGCTGGTGCTGGGCGGACTAATAGAGGTAACTTGGTATGAGTACCGACACACACAGGCGTGAAAGGAAACGGACATTCAATCTGCTGGTGGAGTCCGAACCTGTGATTGGAGTGCCCTTTAGTACTGGTAGCAGCTTCTTCTGCGGAGGTTCCAGGCCTCTTAGGCCAGTTGTGGACATATGAGACAAGCTAGGCTTCACATAATGGGTCCATCCAAAAGGCTTACAGTTCCTCTTTTTCTAGACTGTAAAAGGTGCTCCCTTGTGGTCAGTAGGCTTACCAGCCACTGTAGACTCAGGCGGCACCTTCATCTGCTTGGATTAGCGTATAGCCAAGGGTGCTGTCTTTGTAATAAGAAGAAGGAAACCTCCTTACATGTCTTCTGGGAGTATCTAGTACCGGTCTACCAGAGGTGACAGATCTTGGGTCAGATCTTTATGCATCTGAGCCAAATGAGGAAGTTATTCTTTAAGAAACTTAAAAAATTAGGTGTTTAGAACAACAGGAGGGGCCCAGACTTGGAGCCCTTGCTGATTACTCCAGATATGGGAGCCCGGAACAACCTGTGCCACAGTAACAAAGACTAAGTCCCTATATGCGTATTCCGTATGATAGGATTGATACAATGGACCCGTCTTAACAAGGCTAAGTATCTGAAAGGCTCATAAATGGGTCAAACAAACTTCAAGACACAAGGTTGTAAGGAATGAGAAAATTCCCTATCAAAAACGACTGCCAGAAGTAGTGGAACTGCCACGGCAACATCCAAGCAAAGTGACCACTCATTTTTATGATAAAATATAAATAGGAAGCCCAATATCAATATTTCCAGATAAATAAAATAAAAATGTTTGGTAAAACGCCCATTTGATAACTAATTTTCCTTATCATAGTGCCCACAATGTAGAAAGGCAAATGGTCCAGAAAAAAACATTAGGCAAGAAAAGAACGATGAACGTCATAAATATCTACTGAGATGATAGTGGAGGAACCATTGGATATAAATTTCCTGAGAGCAATATAAACAAATCAAAATAAAGAAAAAAAAGAACCAGCATCTAAAAACCAACAAAACCCTCAAAAAGAATATAGATACTTATATTTACCACACTGTTTGTTTACGCAAGATAATAATAACACTATTATTATTTAATTAGAAAAGAAATAAGTTTTATTTACAAGTAAAAGTGTAACAGTGTAATGACAAGTGACAAGTAAGTCATAAGACATCAACAATGTAAAATGTGCTGCGAACATACATATTATAATTATATTACTGAATTGTACAGCAACACTGTTTGTGTTCAATGTTGCAATATTGAAAAACTTACTTCCTGTATTTCTTAAATTCCCTTCTTGAACAGCTGGACCAATAGAATTTGTTGAATGTTGCCGATACCATTGGCGCCATCACACTCCCATCAATTGCTTCATCCATACAATCATTGTCGTTCTTTTCGTCCCCGTCGTGACTTAGACCTAATCTATAAACAGAAAATTGCTTAGTATTACCGATCCTACATAGTTAAAACAACTACTTTTAAAAATTATCTCTGCTACTATAACACTATCATGGTTTGAATCCATTAACTTCATATTAAAAAATGGTTAATTTAACAAAAATGTACATACAAAATAATAATTCTACAGATAAAAAATTGATTACGGAAAGATCACATGGACACAATGGGTTGCTTAGTTATTACTTAAAAATTTTCCAAATCTGCTACCTATATCCCAAAGGAGAGTTAGTTAATAGAAAAACAATGTCTCGAGCTTGAATATCTAAGATAGATAAAACATGCAACTGCCATTGCATCCGTTTATATCTATCAAAATACTTGGCACTTTTTGTAGCTATAACTTAAAGTGGGAAATAGCAGAACACATTCGCACTTCGTTTCGTGTATAATTTATATATATTTATTGACTGTCTATTAAGTATATTAAAATAAAATAAATAAATCTATACAGGGTGAGTCACCACTAACGAGACGGAAGATTACAGCATAACGTTAAACGATTTAAAAAAAATTTAAATGCATAGTATGTAAATTGATATAGCCTACATGTTAAAATTATTCTGAAATATACAGGGTGTCACAATAAAGCGCGGCGTTTCATAGTTATATTTTTTCTTATAGAACACCCTATATTTTATTGCATTTTCTAATTGTCGGCAAACAATAAGGTATAGTTTCATTAGACTTCCCTATACCTATGTACAGATTGTAATGAGTTATGTCGAATTTTCTTAAAATATAAAACTTTAAACGAGGACTCATTCTTAATTTATTTAAGCAATTCTAATAAAATTATTCATACATTTAAATAGCTGGATATTAGTCGAATGTACTTCATGATTAATTATTAAACATTTATTTACAGGGTGTTCAAAATTTGCAGTTTACGGAACACCCTGTATATTAACGAGTCTTCCTTTAAAGCTTTACAAAGAGCAATGTCAGAAAGCTAAATAATGGCCTCCCACAGGGTTCAGTGCTTGCTCCACTATTATTTAACATTTACACAGCCAATCTTCCAGAGACAAAATCAAAAAAATTTGCTTACGCAGATGACCTGGCTATCGCATTTTAAAACCAAGCCAAAGATGTTGGAGAAAGGGCGCTTGTCGAAGACTTAAGGGTTCTCTGCGACTACTTTAAACAATGGAAACTTCGCCCTAATACAAACAAAACTGAGACAAACCTCTTCCATCTCACAAATCAGCTTTCGAATGACACCCTTATCATCACCTTCAATGGCGAGACTTTGAAACATAATAACAACCCTAAATACCTGGGTGTAACGCTCGACAGATCACTGACGTTCAAAACCCATCTTACGAATGTAGCTGCCAAAGTGAGAACCCGTAACAACATAATAACAAAGCTTGCTGGAACGACATGGGGTGCCACTGCGGATACACTTCGAACCTCCTCACTGGCCCTGGTGTATTCTGTCGCTGAATACAGCGCACCGGTATGGCTAAATAGCGCTCATGTCAACAAGATTGATGTTCAACTAAATTACACTATGAGAGTAATATCTGGTACTATTAAATCAATTCCACTAAGATGGCTTCCAATTCTGAGCAATATAGCACCTCCAGATATTCGACGAACGGCAGCACTTGTCAGATAATATCAGAAAATCATGGCAAATAATCGTCTGCCAATTCACCAGTATATTCCGCACGCCGCACGAGACCAACAAAGACTGAAGTCCAGACGACCCCCTGTCCAATCCGTTCAGGGAATGGGTGATAGCTACAATAAGCAAGAGCAGTGGACGAAAAGATGGATGCCAACAACAGAGCCAGACGTCATCAAAATAACAAGTACGTCGATCGGCTTCACTGGATCAAACCTGCCACGCCCTATATGGACAAAATTAAATCGCATACGCACGGGTCATGGCAAATGTGCCGATTCTCTATACCGATGGGGTCATGCAGAAAGCCCACAATGTGATTGTGGATCCCCGAGACAGACCATCCAACACATCATGGCGGATTGCCCAATCCGCAGATACAGCGGAGACCTTCAAGATTTTGCAGAGTGTTCTCCTGGTGCAATTGAATGGCTGTGCAATTTGGACATTAATATTTAATATTTAACTTAGATTACAATTCCAATTTGAACATAATTATTATCTAAATACTACTTTTATCGTATTGTAATTATCCACACGATAAATAAAAATAAATTTTAAGAATACTCCACATAACTCAGAACACTCTATACATAGGTATAGGGAAGTCTTATAAACTATACCTTATTTTTTGCCGACAATTAGAAAGTGCAATAAAATATAGGGTGTCCCATAAGAAAAAATATAACTGATACGCCGCACTTTATTGGGACGCCCTGTATATTTCAAAATAATTTTAAAAATGTAGTCCTTATCAACCTTCAAACTATAAATTAAAATTTTTTTTTTAATCTTTTACTGTTTCGCTGTAATCTTCTGTAGAAGTAATATAATTATCAAAAAATTCTTACATGTGAGCTGTCTCATGAGCTATAATAAAAGCACTCGTTAGACCTTCATCCCGATTAAGCGCGCAGCTTCTCTTGGGATCACACGCCCCAGCTACAGGCGCATATCCCGAAGGTCCCCCGATGTCGGACCTGGTCAACCAAATGGCTACGTCGTGGTTTGGCTCGTTCGCCGACAAAGAGGCGTGCAGGGCTTTATTCCATAGGTTAACGTTTTCCAAGGACCTCCTGGCGTTTCCAATTTTGATAACTCTATGGCGGTACTTCTTGTGCTCGTACATTATGAGCTTTGTTACCACTAACTTCATGTTAGATTCTAATGAGGGATCTTGGTAGATTGCGCTTACCTGAAATTTTAAATGATAGTTTTTGATCCGTATATATTTATATAAAAGGCTAGGACGATATATGGTCCATCTTGCTTTATGGCATGGAAACGTGGACTTTGAAAAACACATCTATCAACAAACTTGAAGCATTTGAAATGTGGTTATTGAGAAGAATGATGCGCATACCTTGGGTGGATAGAGTTCGAAACCATGACGTCCTTAATAGAGCCGGCGTGGAAAGAGAACTCTTTGAATTAATTAAAAAACGCAAGATTGGTTACCTTGGGCACATATTGAGAGGAGCAAAATATGAAATACCACAGTTAATCCTACAAGGGAAGATCGAAGGTAGGAGAGGAGCTGGCCGCAAACAATTATCCTGGTTAATTAATATTAAAGAATGGACAGAAATACACAATACAGGTGAGCTGTCTCGCCGCCAAGAACAGAATTCTAGTAATGAGATAGTCGCCTACGCACTTTGGTGTATGGCATGTTAAGAAGAAGAAGAAGCTAGGATGACACGTCAAAATGTTTGTTTGGTAGGGTATTTTCAGAATGCTTAAAAAATTATTGTGTCCAAAACAACGAGAGTCCTGAGATCCAAATAGCATAAATGCTGCTATTCAAGCTATGAGAGATAAAACGGTGGGTACATTAAAAGCAGCTTAAACTTATAAAGTCATGAGATCGACACTACAACGGTTAGAAAAAATGACTGAACTGAGTCCAGATGAAGCAGTTCTTAAGAACTGGAAAGAGGAACCATTTTTGGCCCAGATTTAAAAGAATTTTTGGTAGACTATATCCTTTAAATGGAAGCAAAATTCTATTGTTTAAAGCGATCAAACAAATGGCATTTAATCTGGCTAAATCAAAGGATTTAAATAATCCCTTTATGCACTTATAAAAAGCTGGTAAAAGTTGGCTAAATTTGTTTTTGGGCGCGTCACAAAAATATATTGACTTTAAGGAGGCCAACTGGAACGTCTTTTGGACAAGCAAATAGCTTTAACAAAGAGAACGTTCCAATACATTTTTTTATCACCTGAAAAAAGCATATTACAAATACAATTTCTCCAGTAATTAGGTTTAAAATGTAAATGAAACAGGCCAGACTATTGTGCAAAATAAATTGCAGAAATATTGGGGTGCAAAGGAAAGAAGTGTTTGAGGGATTTTATTTCTCCCCTGTTGATCTCTTAAGTTTGTTTGTCTTTCTTCTACAAGGTTGAGGATTTCTTCAGTCATCAAATTTTATGTTCTATCTACTTTTTCTTTGGGTTTGTGTTCAGTGATCCACTTCTTCATGTATTCCCCGTTTTGTTAGGGTTTTCGGTAGTCACTGATAGGCCAGCTCTAAGTAATACTCTTTTAAAATTATCTGGATGTTTTTGAACCAGTTTTATCTTTTATTTGTAATTTACTTACTGTTCCGTTTAACATTTTGTATTAAATGATGACTTTTACATTAATAATATCAAACAAAGAAAATATATCTCATGAATTACATAAAATAATCTCTTCGACATCTACAATCTAACATTATTAAAGAGCTATTGTAGTGGAAAGATCCAAATCTTCTATCTATTTAGAGAAAGCAGCCAGTGACATATACTTACGATATTTAGCAGAGATAACACATATTCCTCGACCCTAGCCCGTCCGTGAAAGGAAATTAAAGTATGATCAACAGCCACGGCAATTTCCATCCATCTTGGAGAGAGAATCGACCCCGACGAAGACGTCCTCACTGAAAACGAATACTAATTTACTCTTTGTGGGTACAAGATAAACATTTTTAAAGAAAATGAAAGGGCCTTTTGTGTCATTTTGTTAATATACCTTTATAAAGGTAACGAGAATATCTTTGATCGATGGTTTTAAAGAGAGAGAATTATTGAATGAAATGTAACTTAAAAAAGGTTTTTACATCGTAAATATAGCACAGAACGAGTCATTAATCCGGACTTTTTTATTAAGTTCACAAACTGCCAAGTTTTTTAAAGTTTTTACAACAAAGTTTTATTTATAAACTGTTTTGATATAATTTTGGTGTTCTGGCCACTTATATTAAGCCTTATATTGTGGCAGTTGCTTTTTCCTTGGTATATATTTAAATCCCCTCATATATGTATTAAAATAACGAAGAATGTTTTCCATGTTTCTCTGTTCCTATGGTACGAGTTAAACCAAATAGTATTTCATTCTTTTTTCGTCGCCGAAGTTAATATAAACACATTTTTAGAGTTTGTTTATAATTCACAGATGTGTATTTTCGACATTCCTTTTAAACAAAACCCGCTTTTAGGATATTCAGCGTTTCAAATAAATACTCCCGTTAATATGTTTTCTTTATACCAGGTTAAAAATGATTTTTAAGACAAACTGTGTGTCTTGTATTCTCTCTTCGAATAGTTTGTATATTCTGCGATGTATAATTTTAAGAAAAAGTTTTAGTTTATTGCTCATTAGACTTATTAGCATTATCTTGGCAAGAATATTGAGAAATAAACTAAATTGCTATACGGAAAAAATCCTACATGAGTATCATGTAGGCTTTAGAAAGGACAGATCTACTGTAGACCAAATCTTCTCATTAAAGAAGATACAAACGACTTGTTATAAAGGTAAAGTTCCCCTGCATGTTTTGTTTGTGGATTTTAGACAAGCATATGATAGAGTCGATAAAGTCAAAATGTATCGAGCAATGGAACATTTGGGTATACCAAAGAAACTGATCCGGCTAGTTAAAATGACACTAAATAACTTTACGTGGGAAATTGCTTGGCAGGGTCACATATCAGATCAATTTACGGTTGCAAAAGGCTTGAGACAGGGAGATCCTTTATCCACTACATTATTCAACTTAGTGTTAGAAACTGTAATCAGAAAATGCAGCATAAAGGTAGAAAAACGATCATGAAAAATGAGCACCAGTTCTTTACATTTGCTGACGATCTAACGATCCTAGCAAAAACCGAAAAAGAATTAAAAGAAAATGTGAAGAAAATCATTGAAGAAGCACAGAAATTCGGATTGGAAATAAATGAAGACAAAATCATCTATTATAATCATGGTAGGGACAGAAGGGAAAAAGAAGACTTTAGTGTGAGGTCTGTAAGTGGTAAAAGCTATAGTTTTAAAAGGGTGGACAAATTTGAATACCTGGGTGTAGTTTTCGATGAAAATGGAAAAGAGAAATGGGAGCTCGAAGCCAGAATAGCAAAAGGGAATAAAAAATAATAAAAAAGTAGGTAGTTTAAGAGCCCTACTGAACTCAAAATATGTTTCTAGACAACGTAAACTTAAACAGAATATATAAAACAGTAATTTGACCTACAGTAACATATGCCGATGAAATATGGACATTAAATAAGAAGGAAGAGGATACTCTGAAAAGATGGGAAAGGAAAATATTGATACGGATATTCGGAGGACGGAAGACAGATGGTTGGGAGAGAAGAACCAACAATGAATATATGGCTTTATACAAAGAACCTACAATTACCAAGTTCTTCTTCTTCTTCTAGTTCCATGACCATTATCGATCGTTGGATATCATGTTGGCTACCATATTCGCTATCGTGACTTTATTGACAGCAGCTCTAAATAACGATGTAGTTGATTTTCCATACCATTGCCTTACAATTACCAAGTTCGTTAAGTAACAAAAAATCACATGGTTGGGACACGTGGAAAGAATGGCAGCAAACAGAATGCCTAAACTAGTAATATGGTAGCCAACATGATATCCAACGATCGATAACGGTCATGGAACTAGAAGAAGAAGAAACTAGTAATAACCAGAAAACTAATTGGTCCTAAAAGAAGAGGTAGACCCAGAACGACGTGGATTAGTAAAGTGGAGGAAGACCTTAAACACGTGAAGGTGAGGGACTGGAAAAGAAAAGCACAAAATAGAAGCGAATGGAGAAATATTGTCCACTAGGTCCTTCAGAGTAGTTAAGGATGTTGTACATATAAGTTAAAGTTTTGTTTAAAAAAATTGTAATTAGATAATATTAGGATTATGTTTTAACAAAAGCCCTAGGCCTTAACGGCCTGTTGTGCGTAAAAATAAATAAATATAGACTTATTAACCTATATACTCTGCACTTTTTCGCCCCCTGTTTCTTTGATAACTTAATAAATTCTGAAACTAGTCAATCTTTTGGAATATTGCCTGTGTCATAGATATTACTGAAGATGTTACACAGTATTCGCAAAGATTCATCATTAAGAAGTTTAAGAAATTCAGACTGTACTCCGTCTGGTCATGAAGCTCTCCCTTCTTTTAGTGATAATATGGCTGCTCTTATTTCTGCTACTAGTATAGGTGGTCCTATTTTCTCTCTAGGACAAAAGAATACTCTACCACCTACCAACTGGTCCGCCCGAAGTCGTTGGTCAGCAAGTGGGGGATTTCTTATACCGGCAATCATTCGGTGAATTACCTTTTGGTCCACGGGAGGTATTCTATTTCACCTATAGCGTATAGCGTTTGTTAAATATCGACAATAACTTTAGTTCTAGGATATCAAGCCAGTGAGAGCGTAATTAATTGGTATTCCAGGCAACGAATTTTTTTAAGTAGTTTTTGAATACTTTATAAAAGGATTCCGCATCTAGAAAGGATTTATTTGCTTTTGAAATAATTTGTTTACTTATCGATTTTCGAATTAATTTCCTGATTGATTTACGTATAGTTGCCAATAAATAAATTGTTGCAGAAAACCTCATCTTAGGCTTATTACCAAGTCATTTGTATTTGAGTGGTGTCGTTAAATTTCGGAAGGTATCTACCATAAACAATTAGTTCAGTCACAAATGAACACAATATTACTGCTACCTGTTTGTATTAGTAATTCCATCAAATAGTAAGTACTTCATAATGACATGCAGATAATAAATTCTACAATAATTTGGTGGCGATAGTAATTATTAACTCCCGCAATACACTTCAGCATTTTATAATAAAAATTACAATTTCTTAGAAACTCTTATACATGATTTAATAAAAACAATCTTAAGTCTATTTAATAAAAGGATTTTATCATCTTCAATCTTCTCGTTGTGTTTAGTATCACGAAAATCCAAGCTTTAGTATCAAGGTAATTATATAGTTTTATAGCACACTGTTGGAGAAGTGTTTAATTTCACTAAAAACGTCTACTCAAAGCTTAAGATGAATGTCTTTGTTCCCCACATATTAGAAAGTTTTAACTATGCACAAAGCGTCACTTCAAAGTTTGTCTCTGATTTGGGGCACAATTCACGATAAAACTTTATTTAAAGGAAGCCCTGTTGTGATAAGTCTACTTAGCCAAAGAACTCTTTTGTGTGATGCTATTAAAATGACAATTAAAGTGATCTTAAAGAGTTTTAAATTAAAAGTGAATTACATAAATTTAAACCAGCCAAAACGTATTATTTCTTACCGGTATGGTTGATTTTTCATTTTGTGTTGTGATGTTGTATTTCATATTGTTTATTTTTACTTTTTTTATTTTTTATGTTGATTAACAACAACAACTGAAAAGGTCTATGAATTTAATAATAAAGAAAATTGACTCACTTCTCTATAATCAGATTCTAAATGGATAAAAAATTTATCTACATCCCTTATTCCAAACAATATTTTGAGTTTTTTCGCATTGGATAATAAGTTTAGTTCTTCTTCTTCTTAATGTGCCCTATCAAGTCCCCTTGACGTTGCCGATTAACATGGCAAAACTGTCTCTGTCTCGAGCTATTCTAAAGACTTGCTCAGCTTTCCTTATTCCTGCCCACTCCCTGATATTCTTCAACTAAGAGGCCTGCTTTCTACCAATTCCTCTGCATCTTTCGATTTTACCCATCATAATAAGTTGAAGAATATTATATCGGTCTCCCCTTACTACGTGTCCAAAATAGGCCATCTTTCTACATTTGATGTAATCAAGCAGCTCGCGAGCAGCATTTGCTCTCTCAAGGACTGCCACATTTGTCAGCATAGCCGTCCATGGAATTTTTAGTATACGTCTGTGCATCCACATTTCAAAGGCCTCCAGACGATTAATGGTATATATTTTTAATGTCCATGCTTCAACACTGTATAAGAGGACTGACCAAATGTAGCATTTAACTATACGCTTTCGAAGTTGAAGTTTCAAGTTATCATTACAGAAGAATGACCTCATTTTTAAAATGTCGTGCGGGCTATCTCGATTCTACATTTTATCTCTTGATCTGGATCTAGCTGTTCAGTAATATGGCAACCAAGATATTTAAAACTGGACACTCTTTGAATTATATGACCATCAACATATAATCGTGCATCTTGATGTGCTAAACGGCTAAACACCATGTGTTTTGTTTTTGAACAGTATATGTTTAGGCCAAACTCTCTTCCCACTGTATCAATGGCATTTAAAAGGCATTGTAATCCATTCATGTCATCACTTAAAATAACTGTATCGTCTGCATATCTGATTGTTTTTATCAGAATTCCATTAACTTTCACGCCCCATTCCAAATTATGCAGCGCTTCTTTAAATATTCTATCTGAATATAAATTAAATAACAGTGGGGACAGTATACAACCCTGTCTGACACCTCTTTGTATTTTACATATTTCTGTTGATTTTCCGTTTATGCAAGCTGTCGCTGTTTGACGCCAGTATAAGTTTTCTATGAATCATATGTCTTGACCATCAACTTCTTTATCTTTTAATATTGTAATTAATTTGTGATGCTGTACTCGATCAAAGG